ATATATATATATATATATATAAGGAGTGGTTCGTTTACTCCAAAAGTAAGTCTACTTAGACTTACTTTGTTCAATAACTCATGTTTTACATTAAGTTTCAACGATCCAACCGTTGAATTTAAAGTTCTTAATACATAGATCAAATATGTAAATTATTTTATGCTTCATTTCATTAATTCAAATTGACAGATCATAAAATTAACATGTTATTCGTCAATTTGAATTAATAAAATAAAATATTTTCAAATTTTTTAAAAATTTATAAATTTGATTTATGTATTAAAAACTTTAAATTCAATGGTTAGATCGTTGAGATTTGATATAAAGTTCAAGTTATTAAATAGAGTGAGTCTAAGTAAATTTACTCCTGGAATAAACGAATCATCTTCATATATATGATTTCTAATTACTCTTTATATGAGATGTAATTAAATATAATTAAGTTTTTTATAAGTGAAACAATTTAAAACATATCATATAGTGGTTAGTTAGATTCATAAACACGTAGTAGTTTTAAATTACTTAATAATTACAGAAAGAAAAAAAAAAGTTGAAAACATTGTGCGGCTTCAAACTGCAGGTGGAGATTCTTGGGGCTAGTTATCCCACCCTTTGAGGTGTCTCCAACATAGCGAGGAAATTAGTCACTGCTATTAACGGTAAATACTCCAGAGATAAACCTAAAAAAAAATCTGCAAGTGGAGGTATTTAGAAGAGAAAACAGGGAATAAATAGTGGGACATTTCCACCGATTTGAAGCATAAGAATGCATTTTTAAGGTGGGAGAAGCCCCAACGTATATCCTAAACCTGAAGGCTGAAGCGATATATAAGTGGGGTATGACATGTCAAAACCTTGTGGCTTGGAGACTCGTTAAAACCTGGTTCTGTTCCCTTCCTTTTATCAATGAAGTAGGGACCCGTGTCTTTTTCACTGCAATGCAATACTATCTTCTCCTTGACAATTAGCAGCAGAAGAATATGGTGGGGGCTGCTGCATGCCAAGTGCTGACTTGACAAGTATTCATACTGAGGCAGAAGAGAACAAATATTTCAAGCAAAGGTTTCTTTTACATTGCATATCGAGTTAAAAAAGTCCTTTCAGATGTGAAATATCAATTCACAACTTATAACCAATCCATCCAGGTTGCAGGATAATCTGTCTCATTGTTGTTGCTTCACTACTGAATTTAACTCTAACACTAATATAATTTTGTTAAAAATATAAATATTCTCCCATAAATCAAGTTTTTAGTCGGATTTACTCTTTCTATAATTTATATTTATATTAAATTTTATAATTCAATCGTCAAATTAGTTTTTTTAATATATAAATTAAATTTATAAATATTTTAAAAAAATGAAAATCATATACTTTTTTGTTATATAAATTCAAATTCATATAAAATATTTCTTATAATTATTTGTCAATTTGAATTAACAAAATAAAGTATGAAATAATTTTCAAATTTTTAAAAGAAGTATAGATTTTATTTATGCAATATGAACTTTTATTTTAATGATTGAATCGTTAAAATTTAATATAAAGTGTGTAAGAAAATATGCAAAAATGTTTTGATTATGCCAAAGTAATTATAAAACATTGAAGAAGAATCAAGGTTGAGCTAAAGCAAGTTGATGCAAGAACAAGATCTCAAGTGATACATAGATAAGTCTTGTCAACTTAACTAAGTATGTAAAAGAATCTTTTGGAATTGCAAATATGTTTGGCCTTGAGAATAAGTTTTCAAAAACCTTAAATTAATCTCTCTAAAATTAAGCAAGTTTTTAATTCTTTTGAAAGTAAGTAAAAATGTTTTCAAAAGACTTAACAAAAGCTTTAAAGAATAGTTCAAATCATTTCTTAAAAGAGATTTGTGAAAGAAATTATTGATACGAAGTTTTCTACATAAAAGTTTGTGTAACAACGCAACAACATGTTCTGGTAATCGATTACCAGTCCTTGTAATCGATTACTAGAAGATAAAACTTCAAAATTTGAATTTAAATTATACAACGTTTCAAACATTTTGAACTTAAACCTTTGTAATCGATTACCAAGTCTTATAATCAATTACTAGAGCCTATTTTCTGAAAAATTATAGAAAGTTACAACTCTTCATGAAAAGACATAACCTAAGAAATAATTGTCTATAAATACATATAATTTTTCAAAGGAAGGTTACAAACTCTATTGTGAAAATCATTTACAAAAACTACTTGGCCAAAGTCATTTGCAAAATCTCTTAAGAGTTCTTTAAGTTCTTCAAAGTGTAATATCTACTCTTCAAAGGGAGTCATTCTGTAAAACTCAATTGATCATTGGATCTGTAAAGGAGAAAGAGTTTTTCTCCTTGTTGGTTTTTGAATCTCAACACAAGGAAAGGGAGTTCTGAGGTGTTGGAGGATTCAAGTCTTGTAAGGTTTACAAGAGTAGTGAAAATCTCAAGTGGGAGACTTGAGGACTGGATGTAGGCAGGATTGGCCGAACCAATATAAAATCAAGTTTGTAATTTTTCTTCCCTACACTTTTATTTACCTACACTTTTATTTATTTGTTATTTAATTGTGTTTGAGTTGTTCTACATCATCAATCTTTACATACAAATTTGTCTAAGGAAATAAATTGATAAAAAAAGTAATTGAAAAAGTTTTTACAAGAGAAAAATTTAGAAAACTTAATTCACCTCTCCTCTTAAGTTATACGAGACTAAGTGACTAACATAAAGTATAAGTTATTGAATTAGATAAGTTTAACTAGATTTACTTTTTATATAAATGAACGAAGATCCCTCTCTCTCTATATATATAAGGGATTGCTAGCATACTCACTTATTTTTTAATTAGAATATATTAACAACTTACACCAAAATTTTAAAAAAAATCTATTATTTTTTTTATTTAATTAATTTATATAAAAAAATATTATAATAATTTAATTTAATTTAAAAAAATATTAAAAAGAATATTTTTTCTCTCCGGTTAACTTTATTCTCCAACTATTTTCTCTATTCTACTAAAAAGAAATCGAGTATGTAGTCCTAAGTTGAATTTGAAAATGAGTGTTCCGAAGGGTATTGGTAGCTTTGGAAATATTATATACGATGTGGGGCAATGTTTGCAGAAGAAGAAGAAAAACGTGGGGCATGTGATTTGGGATAATAGGAACCAGAAATTGGATTGAGCCATTGACCATCTCAATCCAACCCAACCATGCACTCCCCAATAGATAGACACAAGACAAGAATCTAGTCACTCAAAAACATTGTCGCATAGAACAATTTCCTCGACACATACTATCTTACGTACAACCGAGTTTTCAAAATTATATATAATCGTTAATTATTGCCATAACACAACCCAAAGAAGCAGAGAAACTCACTCACTCCTCTGGAGTTCTGATTTTGAAAAGAGTGGAACCCCAGTTGGATTTTGTCATTTTTCTCCCTCACGACAGGACAAGGGAATTAAAGGTTTGAAAGCTGAATCAGGTAATAAAAAGATCCTCCTGCGTACTACCTAAACAATATTTTGCATTTAAAATCTATCTTTCTTATTTAATGACTCATGCAGAGAAATAATGATGATTGCATCTTCTCTTATGTCCTTTCAAATTCAACAATCTGTAATTTTCATTGACAGCTTCTACCTCTCTGGTAAGTCAGAGAATTAATGGGTTTACATGTCCAGGTGGTGTTGTGTGGTGAGACTTATCTCCAACCTCATTTAAGACACTTTCATATACAATACAATATAACATACTTTGTGCTTCAATTGCGGTCAGATAAGTGAAGTGCTGGTGTTTTCACTTTTCAGGTGTCCATAAACAGACACATATAACATATATGCTTGTTATTTTAATTTCCTATTTAAGATATCTATATATTCTATGCTCTTTGCTTTACCATTCTCATTCTCCTTCTTGGCTTCCTCTTCCTCAGGATATATGGAGCCACTCGGTGCAGAGGAATGTCACAGCAGTGAATCTGGATGGACCATGTATATTGGGTCTCCGGTAGATGATAATGATGATGGTGACAACCACAAAAGCGACGACGATGAACACTGTACTCAAGCTCGTCCACAAGATGATTATGATGATGCAAGTGATGATTCAATGGCTTCTGACGCGTCTTCTGGGCCAAGTCATCATGGCTTTGCGGATTTGAAAAGAGGTGGTGAAGAGGAATACGATGGAAAAAACAAGTATTGCTTAGAGAAGAAAGCAAATAAGAGACAAGAGAAGCTAATGATGGAAGGAAAGAAGGTGTTGGAAAAGAAAGGGAAGGTAGTCGTTGATAGCAAAGGTAAGTCTCAAGTTCAGGAGGTGAGGAAAAAATGCTGTGAGGGGGGGAAAAGGAAATAATAGGTAGGTGCATGTATTTCCCTCATTAATTTCTTGCTTAGGTTTTCTTTTGAGCTAAATAATATATAGCTGCAATTACCGTGTAGTGATTTCATTTCCTGAGATGTTGTGGTGGTGAAAATTTTGGAAATATGTCATGCCTATGCTAGCTACAGCATGCAAAGGATTAAAGGTATGGTTGTATATCTGGTTATTTCTAAAATATATGTTGTTCAGATATATACAAGTTGTTACTGTTTGTATGAGTTCTTTTTGACAACTACAAACATATTGAAGGTTTTTAATTATGACTGTACATGTTCATGTTTAAACTTTTGATATTCTCTATACAAGGTGTACGTAGAAGCGCATATCACCTCCAATTGCATGAGATTCTACCAAGTTGTAGGGAATTGATTTTCTTTTTAACTATATCACTCGTATGATTTAATCAAGAAAATAAAATATTAAGTAATTGGAATTCAAATCTGACTCTTTCGAATATAGAATATTTAAGTCGGAAAAAGACATTTATCAATTAGGTGTTAAACAAATTTTTAATGAAAATTATCCTCATATTCATTCAACGAAGAATATTCTTTGGTAATAAAAAAATAATAAAAAAACAGTTTGAACTTTGAAGGGGTAAGTTTTGTCTAAAAACAAAAAAGCCTTGCCTATTCATCTTCAAAGCACCGAGATTCTCTGGAAAAAAAATATGTTTACTCACAGTATCAAAAATAGTTTGAAAAAGTCCGTAACAGGCTCTGTGATAGTTTTTTTTTGAACAAAATCGTCTATTACAAATTAAATTATGTTAGAAATCACAAAATTATTTAGGTTTTAAACCTTATTTAATAAAATCTTTTCATGATTTTATATTTTAAATTAATTATAACTAATGTTGTAAAAAAAAAATATGTTTTAAAAAATATATTATTAACACCCCTAAATAGTTTCTTCTACATTGTCCTAATTGTATAGCATGATAAAAGTCTTTTATGCACTATAAATTTAAATTTAATACTTTATCCAAATTATATAAATCCTTAGAAGGTAAGTCAAACTTAATAAATTCCTTTCACGCATTGTTTATAACTATGAAAGTGAACTATGTAGATTGATTACATATCTTGTGATAACAGGCATAGGCAAATCATTTGAAATCATGCATATTGTAACTAACAGTTATACAACCTCAAATGACTTTAAAAAGTTTACTTGCTTATAGGTACATGAGTAAAATATATTTTTAATTTTTTTAAAATTATTGAAATTTTTGTAAGTCTCTAAATTGACTTGTCATATATAGTCTCTCGATTTTAAAAATATATCCCTTTTAATCCTTTAAATACATAGCACTTAAAAAAATTATGCACTAATTTTATATTACCTTCTAATCACAAGTTATTATATATAGCCAGTTTATGAACTTTTATAATACATTAGATAATATTTAAAAATAATTATAAGATATTATTTAAATTACTTTAAATATTAAAAGTGGCGCTTTTCAAAATTAAAGGGAATAAAACAGAAAAATGAATTAGAAAGACTAAAATTAAACTTTATAAATTTTAGAGACACTACAACATAACAAAGTTTTTTATAAAGACTAAAATTAAACTTGAAAAATTTTAGAAAAATTAAAAACATATTTTATCCTAATTATGTCGGTATCACGCTCTTTAAATTATTATTGTTAATTGATATGCATTTTTAATATAAATAAGTTTTATTTTGATATTTATTAATATTTTGACCTATCTATTAGTTATTATATTTTTTAGTAATTAAATAAAATAAGCATCTGTGCTATTATTTTCTCTTCACAAAGTATATGTTTGTTTTGAAATCGATAAATCATTGGAATAGCTTTTGCAAGCAGGGAGATACTTAAACTTTAAAATAAATATTTAGGCTTAATTGCGTTTTTATCCCTCAAGTATTGTAATTATACAATTTTGATCTTCAAGGTTTTAATTGGGTAATTTTAGTCTCTAAAGAATTGTAATTATGCAATTTTGGTCCTTCAATTTTTAATTGAACAATTTTACTCCCTCAAATATCATAATTTTACAATTTTAGTCTCTCCCATTAAAAATTTAATAATTTTAATATATATATATATAATGTTTTAAAAAAATACAATTATTCATCTATTCAAGTTAACATATATTATAATTTTCGTTAGTGTATCAAATGATATATATTTATTATTATTACTAAATAAATAAAATTTATATATTATTTTTATAATATTATCGGTGAATTAATATCAATAATATTATTAGTATATTTATAAATAAACTAATAACGTGATAAATATAACTTATTATATATTAATATACTTTTACAAAATTATAAATATATCAATTAGAAATATACATATCTTATCTAATACATTTATATTTTTTTAAAAGTATATTAATATATACTAAGTTATATTTATCAAATTATTAGTTTATTTATAAATATACTAAAATATTATTGATATTAATTTATCAGTAATATTAAAATACTAGTAATATATAAATTTTATTTAGTTAGTAATAATAAATGTATATCATTTGATACATTAACAAAAATTATAATATACGTTAATTTAAATAAGCAAATAATTGTATAATTTTAAAACATTGTAAATTATTAAATTATTAAATTTTTAATAGGAAAGACTAAAATTGCACAATTATGATATTTGAAGGATTAAAATTGTTCAATTAAAAATTAAGGAACTAAAATTGTGTAATTATAATTTTTTAAGGACTAAAATTACTCAATTAAAATCTTGGGGATCAAAATTACACAATTATAATACTTGAAAGATAAAAACACAATTAAGCCTAAATATTTATTTCAAAGTTTGAGTATCTCTAATATATTTATCATAATAATAATTAAATTATGAGATATATTATCATAACTCTAATATATATCTTCATCGATGGAGTGTAATAGAAGAAGTTACTCCAGAGAGTAATAAATTCCTATTCAAGTCTCAGACAGGAGAGAGATTCAGATTTAGTACTTGAGTGGATTGTCTTTATCAGGGATAGTTGTGAAGAAAATCTTATATTTTTTTCATGTTAATAAGAAGCAACGGATATCAATTAATTTACTTTTCCTGTACAAACTCCGAAGGTGTATTTGGTAGATAGGAAAGAGATGACTGAAATATAGGGCGAAGAAAAAATGAGAATAAAAAAAAGAGTGAAAATAGATAAAATATAGGATGAAAATTTGATTGTTTGATCCAAGAAATAATATTATATAAATTTAATAAGATAGAAAGAAATGTATAAAAAATAAAATATCTAAAAAATAGAATAAATGAATAAAAAATAAAATTTATATGTTATATAATTTTTAAGTATTATTTGTTATCTTTGCTATGAATTATCATGTTTGTAAAGTAGATGTAACCAGATTGGGAGTAAAAAATGAAGTTATTTGATATTTGTTTCAAAAGAAAATTTAGAATAATGAAAGATTAGGAAAGTACAGCGAAAATGCAAGTAGACAAAAGAACAAGTTTAAAAGGGATAAAACTATAAAGAAAAATAGGGGTGCTTACGAGGGAATATTGGTTCAAGTTTAAGTCAGAATTCAATATGATGTAACTAAATTTAATTGATTTAGATTTATTTAAATTTTATGATTTTTTTTTGTTTAACTTGAACTAAACCATTTTAATGTTGATTAAGATGGCTCAATTCGAGCCATCAGATATTTAATAAATTAAAAAAAATTAAAGTAAATAGACTTTTTAATATTAACTAAATTGGTAATATTATTATAAGTTAATTAAATTGATATAGTTCCTCTTTATTTCTTTTATTAACTTAAGGATTTCAAATGCACTACAATATATGAAAATAACGCGTAATATATTATAATATAAATTTTTTTATTTTTTTTAAGTATTTGAAAAAAAAGTGAAAAAATTTACATATTATAAAAACAAAAACATCTTCAAAATAATCAAAATGATACATATGTTGATTGTTAATCAAATAAAAAATAATAATATATAAATTAATTAATTTGATTTAAGTTTGCTTAGATTTTAAATGTATAAATCTGATACTCAAACAAATCAAGATCAATTTTTAATTAGCTTAATTCGGATTGAATCTATAAAAAAAATGAATCAATTTAATTAGTTGAGTTTAAATTGTTGAATTCATCATATCGGATTGATATGATTTAATGAAAATCCCTAAAAAAACGTTTACATTGATTTAAAGCGAAACAATAAAAACTAAAATGAATGATGACAGAAAAAACAAACTTGTATCTAAGATGTCTTGTCTATTTCTCCGAAGGACACAGGTTTCCTTTATTATGTGGTAGGCCTGGTATACGGAGTAAATGCTAATGTGAGGTTTAAGCTTGAAGGTGCAAGTATGGTGTAGGAGCTGGTACAAGAGTTTGTTGAAGCAAACAGTAGTATGTAACTTAACATGATCAATGCAAGTATATATGTTATGCAGGACGATATCACATGTGAATGAAATGATCTAGTAGCTAGTACTAGCAGGTACCTACTATACTTTCCACCATTAATATGATCATATACATGCTTTGAAGTCGCTTTCCATTTGAATTTGAAAAGGGCATACGTACCCTACAAAGTAATCGGCATTAATTTAAATAAATCATGCTAAGAGTTTGTTTACATACAAATTAAAAATGTTTATGAGAGTTTCTCTATTAAAAATAATAAGTATCTTTTAATAATAAAATTTTTAAAAACACTTCAATTTTTATCTAAACAAATTCGTTCACTTAACTGTCCATTTTGAAATAACATTTAACACACAAACCCTAAAGCGATAGATTCCGTTGTAGGGCTCACTCAGAACAAGTGAGATACGGGTGGTTAGTAGTTGAAATCTTTTTTAGATGTATAGTTTCATATTTATATATATATAGAGAGAGAGAGAGAGAATTAATTGTGTTAAGGTGAAAGCTATTCTTAAAATGATACTCTACATTCTTGAAAATTAATCCGATGATTACTGCCTGTGGGATATTATTGGCCAACGCAGGTTTAAAAACAAAGATAGATTTCATTGTAGGACAGTTTCTCCATTAACAGGATATGAAAGTTCATAACTTTATTGATAATATGTTTTCTTTTTTTGTTATATGGAGACAATTGTGTATTCTCCCACGTTGAAGTTTTGCATAACTACGTCATGTAATTCTTTTTATGTTTGATTATTCAATATTACTAAAAATAAATAAATACTGGGTTTTTATATGGTAAAATTGGGCTTAAGAACCAGAATAAATATAATAAAAAAACAAAATTTCTAAAATAAATTAATAAAAAAACTATTTATCAAAATAAATAATTTTGGACACGTAAGATAAAGAAAGCGTCAAGATGAGTGACGATTTGTGGACTGTTCATACTGTTCCCACGTTTCAAAAAACAACTGAAAACGTCACTGGTAGTGACGTTTTCAGTTGAGCCAAAAAAATGCACTGAAAACGTCAGGGGTATTGACGTTTTCAGTTGTGTTTCAGTTGAGCCAAATTCTCTATTACCTTTATTTTATGAAGAAAAAAAAATGCACTACCGTGATGCTTTTTGAAACTCAGACAAGAATTTGTAAAATTCTCGGACAGAACTTTCACCCCCTTGCTCTCTGCAGTTTAGTAAGTACTCTATTGCCTGATATTTGTGAATCACATACGCAAAATAAAGTAAAATCATTCCAACTATTTATATAGAAAATACAATGACCAACTCAATACACACGAATCCTATAGGCCATCAACTATTTTACATTGCAGAATTGGAGTTTGGATGAAGACCCATATCAAGAAGCCATTGAGCCTCGGACAAAATCCCATCCCTTCCTGCAGTCAAATGAAAACCAAGAGATTTATTGTAATCAAATATTCATGACCTATTGACAAGAGCATGACATGTATTGTTATAACAGAAAAAAACAAATGGGTCTGTGCGGTGCCCATGCAAACACAAACAGAATAATGTTCAATAAAATGTATATAATTCATATACAAATTGAGTGTTTCCATTTCAGGATATACCTAATAGCATATCTTCACATCGAAAATCAATTGATTTATAGAGGTCAAGTCTTTGGCTAGAAAGGAAAAAACATATAAACTCGTAGTCTAACTCTGATGAATTGGTTTCTTCCACTGCATCACCATAAGTGTTCTTATCAGATGATATAGTGACGTTTTGAGTTGAGCCAAAAAAATACACTGAAAACGTCACGTCAATACTCCTGACGTTTTCAGTGTATTTTTTTGGCTCAACTGAAAACGCCACTACGTACCAGTGATGTTTTCGGTTGTTTTTTGAAACGTGGGAACAATTGAACAGTACAAACTCGTCACTCAGGTCGACGCTTTCCACAAATCGTCACTCATTTTGACACTTTCTTCATCTTACGTGTCTAAAATTATTTATTTTGGTAAATAGTTTTTTATTAATTTATTTTAGAAATTTTGTTTTTTTTATTTATTTATTCTGGTTCTTTAGCCGGTAAAATTGTGTCAAAAGCAACACCCATTTCTATTTCGCTGAAATTTAATTTTCTTTTAATTATTTTTTTAACTAAATCAGTTTGTATAAAATAAAATATATACGGATTTTGATGATAATGATCACAATAAAAGTAATATGCAACTTTTGCACCAAAAGCCCAAAAATCCATATAAACTAAAACTACCTTAACTTTGTGAAGTGGTCACTTTAGTTCTTATATTTGACGCAAAATACTCCCCAAAACTAATTTTCATCACTCACATTAGTTCAGACATTGAGACACCTTATAAAAAATATGATGACATGACATTTTTTTTTGTTGACTTGGCACTCTAATAGACATGTATATGCTTATGAAGCACTTTGAATGACTTGGTTATGCCACATCATTTGTCCCGCCCTTGTAACAAGAATTGATTTGAAAATGTAAAATTTGTAACGACTACATTGTTTTCTTTTCTTTTCAAGCAGATCGTTCTTGGTCATAAGTGCTATTTGTTTTAGAGGTTTGCATAGTTATCGAGTAATAAAAATATTAAATTTATATAAATTATGTTTTATGACTACCAATTTACCTTAATTTAATAAGATATAACAAAACATTGACTAAATGCCTAATTTAGTCCCTTATAATATTAAAAAGTTTCAATTTGGTTTCACTTTAATTTTTTGTTTCAATTTAGTCTCAATTTATTTTAAAAGATTTCAATGTGGGATTTCCGTCCAAATTTTACAAATGACGTTAAATGTTGACTACGTGGATGTCAACTAAATGCATACGTGGGAATCACGGACGTGATTTTCAAGCTCGTACATAGCACATTTTTTAAGTGATTTTCACCGTGAGAATCATGAGCGTGATTGTCACGCTTGTACATAGCACATTTTTTAAGTGATTTTCGCCATGGGAATCACGGGCGTGATTGAAAATCACAGGCGTGATTCTCACATTGGTATATAGCAAATTATTGACATGATTCAAAATGTGGGAATCACGGACGTGATTGAGAATCACGGATGTTACTTACCAGATTTTTTTATGTGATTCATACTACGAGAATCACGGGCGTGATTCTCATGGTTCTTACTTAGTAAATTTATTTATGTGATTCACACCATGGGAATCACAGGCGTGTCACGGGGATGATTCTCACGACTTTTACTTATCATATTTTTTTTTTATCACATTTATTTAATATTGTCATACGTAATGTCATACATAATAGTCTCATAAACTTAAATATTGTCATATAATTAACACTTAATATTGTCATATAATTAACACTTAATATTGTCATACACAATGTTGTCTCAAAATTCAGCTACATCATAAATCATCAATAAATCCTAAACACAAAATACTGTTTATTTCAAAATAAAACCAACACGTAACAATCTTCAACTTTTTCATGATTTCCATTGTGGTTGTGCTTTCCTAAGCTTCAACTTCTCCCTGAAATTGTTCTTTGGTTGAGATGATTTTGTTGATTTCTTTTCCTTAGATGTCTGAGATGGCTGGATGGGCTAATTAAGAGGGTTGGGTGGGATGAGAGGGTTGGGTGAGCTGAGAGGGTTGGGTGAGTTCAAAGGGTTGGGTGGGCTTAAATGGTTGGGTGGGTTGAGATGGTTGGATGGGCTTGGATGGTTGGGTGAGTTCAGAGGGTTGGGTGGGCTCAGATGGTTGGGTGGGCTTAGATGGTTGGATGGGTTGAGGTGCTTCATTTGGTATTGGAGTATTACTTGGGTTTTCCTTGCAAGTAGATATGTTATGGCCAAAACTTTTGCACCTGCTGCACTTTCTCCTATATCCACTTCTTTTCAATTGAGTTTCATCCTTTTTTAGTTCCCATGGCTCCAAGTTTCTTTTTTTCTTAGGGCATCCTGACATTTTCTTTGATGGCGGTGGAAGAGCATCAGTGCAGCATGTCTTTGTCCATAGTTGTTGTTCATTTACTGGATATATCATTGATTGATATACAGCCTCATATGTCGTCCTCTTGTAATAGTCTGGTATAAACTCCTTTGGATCCAAATTCATGTACTTCATACATGATATAGCATGGCAGCAAGGTAGCCTTGTCAACATATGCATCTATACATGCCAACATATGCAAAAAGACAATACAAGATGTCAACAACCCATTGTTTGGGACCACACGAAAAGCAAAATCAAACTTTACAACAAAAAACCCTTTATTAAAAAACCCATTTTTAGTCCCACACAATTTCAAACCCTAAATCGAAACCTATATATGAACAACAACCCAATAAGATCCTTTAGTCGAACCCTAAATCAAAAAACCCTAAACACAACACTTACCCGATGTGAATAAGATCCAAATGCGACTTCTTCTTCTTCACGAATGCATTCTTAGGAGTCACTCACCGTGAACGATTCTTCTTCTTCACGAATGTCCCCTTCAGAGTTCACGAACGTCAATGACGGTGGATGAACGATTCTTCTCTCATGTTTGGGAAAGGAAGCCACGTTGGAATTTCAATGAATAATGAAACATTTTTTTGTTTTTCACGTTGGACGCTCTTAAATGGCATTTGTGAAATTTGGACGGAAGTCCCACATTGAAGTCTTTTAAAATAAATTGGGACTAAATTAAAATAAAAAAAATTAAAATGGGACCAAATTAAATTTTTTTAATATTATAAGGGACCAAATTAGACATTAATTCAAAATATTTTATTTGATTGGAAAAAGAATAATGATGTTTAAGATAAAAACGATTATGAGGAAATAAAAAAATTTAAATAGAGAAAAATCAATAAAAGAAAGGTTTGAAGAATTGTGATTCACCAAAATGATGATTAATGGATCAACTTATGTGTTTAAAGGTTGATTTCAATTTTGATAATCAAGATAATTTTTATTCCCTTTAAAACATGAAAATGTATCTTATTTAATTGATTTTTATTTTTATGATAATTATAATTAATTAAACACATTATACTCTTTGTTAATCTATTGGCTTTTTGAAGGATTAAATATACTTTCGTAGTTTAAAATCTAAATCTTCCTGTAATTTTAATAATTAAGTTGGCCATTCAATTTTTTCTTAAAAGTCTAAGATTATGAAAAATTACAATCAAACACTTTGCATAATTATGAGATGAGTTTTAGTTACGGAACGGGTATCATGAAATCGTAGCCCAACTCGCTGAGACATAGGCAAATTTGCTTGGTTCCTTTCCCCTCCCACATTGTGGCGTTGTGAAACGGCAAAGTGACGGAAATGTCACGCACTCGCATTGCTGCTATTCACCGCTTACGCTACAGCTTCACCTACACCGCATCATTATCTGCAACTACTCTCTCTCGCTCTCAATTCCAATGTCATGGTTATTCTTCTTCCGCCCCCAATCAAGGCCTAGTCGGTGGCGGCCACGAGCATTACCCCACTGGAGACTTTGATTTCAACCCTATCACAGGATGGAAAAAAAGTATCGTCAAGCTCAAGATGCTAACAGCCTGGCCCTGGGAGCGTCTCCGATACGGCACCGTCTTCACTGTCAAGTTGCGCGGCCAGGTTTCTCCTTCTCTCTCATCCTCGCTTCGCACTTCTAACTTTTCGCTCACGCACGCTATTGCTATGTGCTTTACTACTTCTTCGCTATTATGTTTCGTTAGATTTCGGATCAGCTCAAGACTAGATTCTCTCCGGGATTATCTCTGCCTCAAATTTGTGATAATTTCTTGAAGGCGGCTTATGATCCTCGAATTTCCGCCATCTATCTTCACATTGATATTTTAAACTGCGGTTGGGCCAAGGTCGAAGAAATTCGAAGGCACATCTTGAATTTCAGAAAATCAGGTACGTCAATCAAATTGCACTTCTGATGGGAAAAGAAAAATATGTATGTGACTTTCTCAGACTATGATGCAACTGTATACATTAGGAAACAGTTTGGGTTAACAACTTAAGTGCTTATTTTATAAGCTCTTAGGACGTGAGAACTTATGATATAAATTTGACCTTGAATTTTATTGGACTAAGCTGACTAGAGCTTATGTTGATAAATTAGGCCAAGAAGCTTGTTGAAGTAAGTTAAGAAGAACATATGATAGTCATAACTCAAGCTATTTTTATAAGCTTAAGTGTTTCTTTTGGTAAACTTCTCCATAAGCAAAAGCGTACAAATTATTTCATTTTTCATTTCTATTTTTCTCTTATAGAAGTATTACTTCTAAAGAAGTTTACCCGAACAAACCCTAATTATACCCACTATAAGCTCTTTCAAAGGCCCCCTAAATATAGTGAACTGTGATGCTAAATATATAAAATGTTATGAATCATCTAATATTTTGATTTTTTTAGTTATTATCTTTGCTACTTATGAACAGTTTTGATAGTTGATAATAATGATGCTCGTGTTGTAGGGATATGTTAAGATTGCTGATCTTATTAAGGATATGTTTGTGTTTTGCGTGTTAGGATATATGAAGTTAATTTGATGTTTTAGAGTGGTTGTGTAGCATTCTGAGTTTTGGGTTTGTGATTATTTTGATGCTTTGTTGGGAAATTTATTGTGGCTTACGTCCCTTCATGTCGAGAAAAAGAATACTATATTGCATGTGCCTGTGAAGAGATATATGCCCCTCCAAGTGCTTATTTTTCTTTGTTTGGATTGACTGTTCAAGCCCAATTCGTCAGAGGTAAGCTGATTCTGTTTTTCCTTGCATTTTTTTTGGGAAAAGGTTCACCTTTTAGCAGTGCGCACCTTGCTAAATTAATAAATAAAGTTATAGAACTTTGGCATGTTTATTTCAAGATGTATGTACTTGTTATGGCATCAGTTCATGTTTTATACATTATGAAAAAAATGTTTTGTATCCTCCTGTCCATCTTGTAGATGCATGTAGGGGATTTATTGCTAAATCCTTATAAATTTAGGGCATGTTTACTTCAAGCGATTTTTTTTCTTCTGTGTTTATTTTTTGTTTTCACTTTTAATTACAAAAGTGCACCTTGTTTTAATTTTATTTTTTGTTTTCAAAGATTTGTATTATAAATAGTTAAAATAAAATAAAAATATTTTTACAGTTTCTTACAAATCCTGAAAAACTGGAAATAAAGTGAAAATAAGGCAACATTAATAATTAAAAGTAAAAATAAAAAATATTTTTTCAAATCATATAGATCCTTAAGTTCTTTGATGACTATACCGAGCCCAAAACTAAATTTTTTATGTCATTATTAATTCTCCTAGGTGTTTTGGAGAATATTGGAATTGAACCACAATTGGAAAGGATTGGCAAATACAAAAGTGTAGGAGATCAACTAACCCGTAGAACCATGTCTGAAGATCATCATGAGATGCTGACTTCATTGCTTGATAACATCTATACAAATTGGTTGGACAAAGTCTCTTCTGCTAGAGGTGCAAGTGTATTTAAAGACCTACTCAAATCTGGAATCAATAAATTAACTTCTGGGCATCTTCAAATTTTATACAGGAAAGAAAAGAGAAGATATTGAGAATTTCATAAATGAAGGTGTTTATCAAGTAGAGAGGCTTAAAGAAGATGGCTTCATATCAGACATAATGTATGACGATGAGGTACATGATATACTCTGGTGTTATATGAACGATTATTTGCTCGAGTCAAGGTGTCTCTTGGCATGGTTAATATATCAGAGAGTATGAAAGAATCTCATCTAGTGGCTAGTGGTGATATATATTTTGAAACATTCTGGGAAAGTGTTTTTATTTGCTTCATTCAATTAGCTTGTGGAACCTACTTCATTCATATGTATTGATAATTAACATTGGTTAATAAAATGTTTTGAAGGATACAAGCAAAGGGGACTAAAAAGAATAAGAAACATTAAATGTTTTGCAGGTTATCACTAGGTTGAAGGAGAGACTTCAAGTGAAAACAAATAAAAATCTGCCTATGGTTAATTACAGGTAAAAAAGATTCTTCTATAGCCTCAAAAAATTTAATATGGTTTACATTGTATTATGACATTTATTATTCAATAGAAAGAAGTTCACTTTAAATATCTCTACAAATCCTTAGTCTAATAAAATTCATTCTGTCTCTTAAAATTTTTGTTCCTCCTCTACATTTTCTTTTTCAGAAATTTATATTATTGTTTGATGGCTGTAATAATTTCCATAAGCAAAGAATATTACGTAAATTTTTGCCCATGAAAATAATTATTTATGAATTAGAATTAGAATTTCTATTGTGTTGTTTTTAGAGATAATGACTTCCACCCATATGGACATAACCTTTCATGACTTGTGGCCTACACTGCAACCTTACAAGGTATGGATACTGTATACATATATGAGTATGGGATGTGTCATTTTTTAAACAATACAAATTTAAATAAATAAATAAAAATACGACAAAAGTTGCATACAAAATAAAAAATAGCTTAAAATGAATAAGAAAATATAAAGACATGAACTTCAGCACTACATATAACAAAAGGTGATTAAATTGTTTGAACATAACTTAATGACAAAACATATCACAATAAGAAAATTTTGTCAAATGACTCAAATCTTAATGATATAGAACTAGATCAATAATAAGAAACTACAATACTGAAATTGTTCAACATCACAAGATCTTAAATCTAAGCATGGTTGCAAAAAATCACATTCTAATAATGCCAATCTCATTATTTCCTTGCCCATCATCACTAACAAGAACTACCTCTGAATATAGTTCATAAAGAAAAAGACTAGTTAACTTCAAGAATACCAATCAATTCAAATGGATCCTGATCATCTTCAATATCCCACATTTTTGTTATGCAGTTATGCTCATTATAACTATTCTTTGAGATGAGATGGAGATTTGTGTATAAAAACTAAATCTTCTACTGTGTTGTCTTTAAGCCAATTTCTTTTCAATGATAAATAAAGGAGTATGCCCTCTTATTTCTCTCACAAGAACATGAAGAATATGGCTGTGGAAAAAAACTTAAAGGAAATGGCTTGAAGTTTGGGAATTACAACACCATATCTGACCCATTAAGGATGATAAAGTTACTCATACCTGTGAATAAAACCCGACATGGAGCAGATTTGGGAATTGACTAGAAATCTAGAACACTTTTAACTATTTAATTAACAATTTAAGCTGACCAACCTATTATGAATAGAATTTATGCTTAGATAATTGTTTTTAATCCATATAAAATATGCTTTTTTTCTTAATTTTTTTTTGTCATTATTTTTTTTTAGTTCCTGATGTCAGGGTTCCTTGTTAAGTGATAACCTGGTTAACAGAGGGTGGAAATCAGACCTGGTTCTGCTTATATAACAGAGACTAAAATGAAAATATCCAGTATAGAGGGACCTATATTATTATCGTATATGACTTGCTATATGGCTTCTTGTCAAGCAACAAGTTTATAATGTGAAATTGTGAATAAATCCTTCTTTTTTTTTTGATAAATTAAAATATACCAAATAAATCACATTAACCATATGCTGATATCTTCTTTCCTTGAATGCAGAAAATACTCTGGAGTCAGGAAATCAACTCTTGGACTATCAGGTGGTAAAGATTTAATAGCCATCATCCGAGCTTCAGGGAGTATTCGTCGTATCGAGAGTCCATTAAGTTCCCGTAGCTCAGGTATCATTGGAGAGAAGTTCATTGAGAAGATACGCAGGGTTAGAGGTACTTGAGCTTATAAAGTTACCTTCTTTGAGTCGGCACATATTTAGGGGAATGTTACAGGGCTATTTACATCAAGTATGACAGTTTTTGTTAGTTCTATTAAATCATAGTTGTCTTGGTTTGATTAGAGTTACATTATTCACTATTGTCATGTCACTATAACATGCGAAGCAATGAACTGCATCAGCAATAATGTCATTGGACTCAGTTAAAAACCAAATTCAAATTTGAAGAACACATAAAACATGTTTTAGATTTAGCAAAAATTTTGGGGATTAATAATTTCGTTCAATATCTATCATGGTCTCCTTATCCCTTTCTCACATGGCTTTAAATTATGTGATCTACTCTATTCAATGTTGCCTCCAGTGGCCTTGTACATGTCCAAACCACCTAAACTAATTTCGTGTCATTTTCTTCCTTAATACCAATATTTCTTTGTATATATATCATTCCAAATTTTATTCTTCTTGGATTTTAGTCCTTCCATATTACTAGCCAATCCTTGTCCATCATGTGAAAAACTTGAAAAGAAAATAGTTCTTCCATCTCTTTGATATCTTGATTAGTTGATCTATAACCAAAACTTTTCCTTCATCTTTAATACATTTTTCTTGGTCCTGTTAGATTTCATCTTAAAACCAATTGACATTAAGCAAAGTTGTTCAATAGTAATAGAATTGTGTGTGTGAGAGAGAGAGAGAGAGTGGAAGAGAGAAGATGAGAGAATGTTTCAATAAGCAAAAATATGTTTTCACTAACTGCACAAAGAATACAAGATAGGATTATATAGAGCCAACCTATGTTGGTCTATAGTAAAAGCAATAAATGTGACACTCAAGAAAGAGATAAAAAAATTATCTGCATTACTATTCTACATATATAAGTAAGGAGTAAAACTATACTCCAATATCCCTCGCAAGCTCAAGTAGGATGAGGAGACTCGACTACTTGGAGCTTGGATCGAAGAACACAAAACCGCGAGGGAGATAGAGCTTTTGTAAGAACATTGGCACATTGATCGATGGCGTGAACATGGACTACTTGAAGATGCTTGGCAGCTACCTTTTCTCGAACAAAGAAAAGATCTAATTCCATATGCTTGGTGTGCGCATGAAGAACAGGGTTGTGAGCTAGGGTCATAGTGCTCAAGTTGTCACAAAAAAATGATTGAAGTTGAATGACGAACTTTAAGTTCAGAGAGTAAGATTTGTATCCAAGTAACTTCAGCTGTTGCAAGAGCAAGACTTCTATATTCTGCTTCAGTACTAGAACGAGCAACAACAGTTTGCTTTTTGGACCACCAAGACACAAGATTTGGTCCAAGAAAGATCGAAGCACTTGATGTAGATCTCCTATCATCAGGATCATATGCCCAGTCTGCATCACAGCAGGCATGAATGGAGAGAGGGGAGTTGGAAGGAGCTGGTTGCAGGTGGAGACCCCAAGAGGTAGTGCCCTTTGCATAGCGAAGGATACGTTAACAGCGGACCAGTGATGTGCAAGAGAATGGGACATAAATTGACAGACCTTGTTTACTGAGAAGCTAATTTCGGGTCTTGTTATGGTGGCATATTGTAATGCGCCAACTACTGAACGGTAGAGAGACGTATCTAGGAAATCTTCAGAGCTAGCTTTTGAAAGTTTGCAGCCACTAATCATTGGAGAAGAAATGGGTTTTGAAGCTTCCATATCCATGCGGTTTAAGAGATCCCTGATATATTTGCTTTGAGTTAGGACGAGGGAGCCATCAGATTGAGTTTTTACTTCAATGCCAACGAAGTAATCAAGATCACCAAGTTCTTTAAGGGAAAAGGCTAAGTGAAGTTGAGAAACAAGTGTATGAAGAAGGGTTGAATTATTGTCGATGAAGATAATGTCATTTACATATACCAAGATGTAGATGACATTGTTGGCGTTTGAGTATACAAACAAAGACGGATCACACTTGCTTGCTTGGAAGTTAAACTGCATTAGGGTTGATTTTAACTTCTCAAACCAAGCACAAGGTGCTTGTTTGTGAAGTTTGCAGACTAGGTTTCTATCAAAAGCTTCAAATCCTGGGGGTTGAGTCATATACACTTCCTCTTCAAGTGAGCCATTTAAAAAGGCATTATTGACATCTAGTTGTTGAATAGGCCAATGATGAATTAGGGCAAGAGTAAGGATAAGCCGAACAGTGACAGGTTTGATGACAGTGAGAAGGTTTCATTATAGTCAAATCCAAATTGTTGATTAAAACCCTTAGCAACGAGGTGAGCTTTGTACTTTTGGACAGTGCCATTAGGATTTTCTTTGACACAAAAGACCCATTTACGGCCTATGGCAGTTCTATGTGGTGGTAGATGAATCAGAGACCATGTGCTAGTACTAAGTAGGGCATTGTATTTTGTATGTGTTGAGAGTAATGGTGAATGGAGAGAACATATTCCTTGTGTATTGCAAAGCACAAGATGTGTTTAAATACAAAGTAGTGGGCCTAGGCCCATAAGATAAAAACTATAAGATAAAAACTATAAGATAAAATTATATCTAACACTCCCCCTCAAGCTGGTGTATATAGATCATATGCACCAAGCTTGTTACAAATATAATCAATCCTAGGACCCCGTAATGATTTGGTGAAGACATCTGCCAACTGATCAGTAGAGTTAACAAACTGAGTAGTAATGTCCCCAGATAAAATCTTCTCACGAATGAAGTGACAATCTATCTCAATGTGTTTGGTCCTCTCGTGAAATACTGGATTTGAGGCAATATGAAGGGTAGCTTGGTTATCACATATGAGAGTCATCTGTGTAACTTCGCCAAATCTCAGTTCTTTAAGCAACTGTTTGAGCCAAATAAGCTCACACGTAGCAGAGGCCATGGCACGGTGAGGGTTGCTTTCCACTTATATACTATTCTAGAGCCTAATCCTTGACCTCCCGGTGGACCCACTGTTCATCGGTGCCCGGAGAACGTGTCTCATTCCGTTTTCCAGCTACCCACCTTGTCGTGTCTCCTTCCGGCAATTTTTTTCCTATTTTTTTTAGGGTTTTTTCTTCGCTGCCGCCGCCGCTAGAATAGTATATAAGTGGAATCAGATAAGGCTTGTTTGGTTGTTTTGGGTTCAGTATGGGTTAATAGAAGTGTGGGTTGTAGACGTGGTTTGACTATGCCATCTTTAGCTCTTGTTGTCATAGGGTGAAACATTGTGAGGATGAATGAATGGAGATGTATCGGATTCAGGGACAGGGGATGTGGGGATGGATAAATTGGATGGAGAGGTACTTGTGGCAACGACTTGTGGGTTAGAGGATTCAGAAGACATGTTTGGTCCAGGGTCCAGGGTCCAGGGTCCAGGGTCCAGGGTCCAGGGTCCAGGGTCTAGGGTCTAGGGTTTAGGGAAGATAGATCCATGTAAAGCGTGTGTGAACATCATCAACAAAGGTAAGATATGATAGCCACACGTAGACATGGCTGGTGTAGGGCCCCCATAAATTACTGAAAATTAATTCAAAAGGTGTGGTGTAAACAGTTTTGGACAGATTTGAGGGTAATCTATGAGATTTGCCAAGACAACACAAGAAGCACAAAAATCTGATTCAATATTGTTCACAAATTGAATATTGAAGTTCTGGAAAATAAGTTTCATTACATCAGCATTTGGATGACCTAATCTAGAATGCCAAGTGGCAAAAGAAACAAATTTCTTGCTTGCTGTATTAACTGAAGGAGATTTGGCAATTTTAAAGGGTTGGATAGGTTGTGTGCTGGTGATGGGGAGTAAAGCAGGAAATTGATACAGACCATCGGGACCAACCGAGCCTTGGAGTAGGGTTTCGTTAGTATCTTGTGATTTTACCAAGCAAATGGAAGGGTGAATTATCTTTGAAAAATTGAGTAACACTGATTAGAGTTTTGGTAATTGGGGGAACAAAAAGTGGATTGTTTAGAGTAAAATGAAACTTAGGATTTGTTGGGGAGGGAAATGTAGTAACGCCTGTGGAATTAATATGAAGACCCTGTCCATTACTAATATGGATTTGATCTAGTCCTTCAAAAGGGGTAAACTGTTGAATATTTTGAGAGACATTGGTTACATGATTTGAAGCACCAGAGTCTGGATACCAAGTATTGTTGCCCGAGAATTCTGTTTTGGTGGGGTGGAGGGTGAGAGGGTTGTTGTGAGGGTGTTGGGAAGTATTGAGCCGGAGCGGTTTGATTGTTGTACCGGGAACCCGCATCTACATTTTGGTTGGTAGAGGGGAACATGGGTGCGTTCAGTGGGGAGGATGGGACAAAGGTCTCATCAAATTTGTAGTAGCAAGAAGAAGCAACATGTCCATAGCAATGGCAGACCTGGCATTGAAATCCAGCGAATCTGCCTCGTCCGCAACCTGCACGATTAGGAAAACGACCACCATGAAATCTTGTGCGACCCCCAAGATGTTGAGCAAATTGAGATCGAGGTTCTTGATGAGCAAGATTTGCTTGTGGGTGTGATAAGGATGGATTGGGTTCAAGGTTGGTTGTAGTGACATTGATAGATGCAGCAGTTTTCTTCTTGAATTTGTCAAGACAAGATTCATGGCCAAGAAGCAAGGTCTCGACTTCGTCTATGGAAAGCATGTCAAAAAGACTATTGATGAGTGACACGGTTGATTCATATTCTTCCAGTAAGCCTTCAAGAATGATGTCAAGATACTCTCGCAGAAATTGAGTCACCAATGGCTGTGAGAGCATCAACAAGGGTTTGAATTCGGAGAACATAGTCTAAAATGGTTTGATTTTCAAGATTAGTACTGCGTAGTTCATTGCGAAGTTGACGGGCTTTGGCATTCATGTGAGAATGAAAGTAGGAATGTATTTTGTCCCAAAGTTGAAAGGATATCTTGCAACCTATAACCCGAGTGAGCATGTATTTAGACATGGAAGATTGCAGCCAAGACAACAGTAGTTGATCTTGTTGTTCCCAGGCAAGATAGGATTCAAAAATCTGGCCAGTATCACGATCAGTGTTAGAGAGAAACTTCTGGGGAATTTGCGGGTTAACAAGAAAATGGAGTCAGTGGCCTTTGATTACCGATTCGACCTACTGGCACCAAAGAAGATAATTCTTGGTGTCCAGTTTTTCTGATATGGTGTGGGAAAAGGTAAGAGACGGATAGGAATTAGTGGGAGGGTTCTTTGAAGGAACGGTATTGATTGGTGTAGCGTTGATAGGTGGAGGAGGCGGTGGTGGTGGAGAGGAAGCCGCCAGTGGAATGGATTCAGCCATGACAAGATTGTCGAGATGAACAAAAAAGAGAGAAGGGGAAGAGGATCGAGGAGCTCTATGATACCATAATAGAATTATGTGTGAGAGAGAGAGAGAGCGGAAGAGAGAAGATGAGAGAATGTTTCAATAAGCAAAAATATGTTTTCACTAACCGCACAAAGAATACAAGATAGGTTTATATAGAGCCAACCTATGTTGGTCTATAATAAAAGCAATAAATGTGACAGTAAAGGAGATAAAAAATTATCTACATTACTATTCTACATATATAAGTAAGGAGTAAAACTATACTCCAATAAATAGATATATAAACCGCACTCAGAGAATTGAGGCAGACGATGTGGGACTTCCTAACACCCCTTCCACAGATGCCTGTTGAACTAGGCGATGCCTACCAAAATAGGCAAACCAAGAAGATGGGCTCTAAGCTCTGATATCATGTTAGATTTCATCTTAAAACCAATCGACATTAAGCGAAGTTGTCCAACAAATATATAAATTGCACCAAAAAAATTGAGGCAGGCGATGTGAGACTTCTCAATAGGTCCAAATATATTGATCTTCTTTCCCTAAAGAATGTATATCTTTCATTCTTTATTCTTTGTCCCAAAATCTTGGTAAAACTCTTCAAAAGCTTTGGTTTGTGCCTCACAATTTTCCTGGTCTCATTTCTATCCTTTTGATACCTTGTCTAACTTTCAGCATTCCTGTGTTAGGCCTTAAAGCACTCATTTTTGTTTCTTGCCTTTTCCTGAACATTGTCATTCCACCACCAAGGTTCCTTATCTCTTGGTCTATAACCTTTTGATTTACCCAAGATTGTTTTAGCAACCTTCCTAACCTTCTTAGACATCTCCCAGAAGGGAAATTCTTAAATTAAAAAAAATGAAGTTGGTCAGCCAAGTAGGCCCTTGCGTCTTCCTTTTAGTCCTAGACAAGTCTTGCTTCTCGTGTTGACTAATTAGGTAGCTAACAACAATAACACTGATAACATTGGCTATCACTGTCCATCTATGCCAAACCTGAAACCTTTTGACAATGTTATTATGCTTTATTCTTTGGTTATTTTATATGTATTGGTTTGTGTACTGGCCACACTGAGCTTTCTTTTTATCCTCAGAGTCAAATAAATATAAGGCAGCTATTATCCGAATTGACAGTCCAGGAGGTGATGCTCTTGCTTCCGATTTGTAAGTGCTGGTTATTTCCCCACTGTTCAAAATTCACTCTTTTAAAATGACATGCAAGAAATTGTGTGTTGGATTGTGGATACATTTAGGAAAGATCTACACCATGGCAATAATACTTTGCAAAGAACTTGTACTACTTTGATTTTTTCTCTAGAACTTCTTTCTGATGCTACTCTTAGATTTTAGAGGAGTTAATAAAGATTTAATAATCTAGTTAAATTGAAATTCATATGTCATCTTTGTCATGAAATTATGATGCTAAGTGCAAGTATTTTGGTGAACTTGCTTGTTTAATTAATAAAATTTTGTTGTCATGATCTGCAGGATGTGGAGAGAAATCAGGCTTTTGGCTGCCTCAAAACCCGTCATTGCTTCAATGTCTGATGTGGCAGCAAGTGGAGGGTACTACATGGCAATGGGGGCAGGAGCTATTGTTGCAGAAAGTCTTACCTTAACTGGTTCAATTGGAGTGGTCACAGGTGAATTTGGGTGTTTCAGTAGGAGAACAAAGGGAATGAATGGATAATAATTTAACTGAAATTAATAATATAAATTTTAAGATTTATTACTAACTGACATTATGCTTGTATGTTTGAAACAGATGGTCCCATCTGTGTTGAAACCTAATTGGTATTTGTTCAATTTAGGAAACTTTGGTTTAGAGCTAGATGTCCTAACTGACTGTTGTGGTTTGTAGGTATCTTCCCCTTTATTGAAATTTCTCCAGATCTAATCAACTTGTTTTTAATCAACTTGAATAGAAGAGTAGATATGTATGAATTTACAGATTGCTGATTTCTGTTAACTCCATGCGCAGGAATATAATATGGCATACTGTGAATTTCGAGTCCATACAGTAATATATAATATAGCATTTTTTGATGAAGAAAAATATAGCAGTTTGAAACATTATTTGCAGGGTAATTAAATGCAAAAAATTTAGCTAAAAAGTATGTATTCATTTGAGATCTGAAATAATGAACGAAGACATTTTAATTTCAGAAACAATCAGTGCTCCAGATATTGTCCTTGGGTTTTGTAATCTATTAATTTGATGGTGTAACATGTATTTTTTTAGGAAAATTTAACCTTGGGAAACTTTATGAGAAGATTGGCTTCAACAAAGAAATTATATCGAGGGGTAGATATGCTGAGCTCCGTGCAGCTGAACAGCGTTCTTTTAGGTAATAAAATTTGTTCATGTTCAATTATAAAGTTTCTAGTGGAGCTGGAGAGAATATTAACCAGTACACTGTGCCATCTGCAATCTAACTGTCAGGCACTTTGTTCGAGAATTAAAGACTTAAATGTTGCTTTCTAAATAGTCTCCAGTCCAGTAGAATAAGTTGATAATGAAATTCCATTTTGATGTCAGTATTTGAATCCTGCTCAAATCTATTCATTTAACTGTCTTGGGTTCAAGACATCTCAAGTTCTTCAAATTCAGTTGTTAGGAAACTTCCTTAATCAAGTAGTTGAGTGTGAGTGACAATGCATAAAACGTGGCTTGGATTCCAAATGTATCAGTTGATACAGCCATACAGGTATCAATTACACGGTTCCCCTTTCAGGATCCCTAAAAAGAGGATCAAGGTATCCCTAAAAGCAAAAGCAGAACCAGAGCAATGACTTGCACCTGCCTGCGTTGTCATCAATGCAGTTATGCCCCTGGTTGGAAGTTTTTTAATCTTTGCAAGTGGATTGTGGAAAAGGAAGGGAAATACACAGGAATATTTTTGCTGCCTTTATCCTCTGGGCACTAAAGATCATCTTAAACAGGCCCAGGGTTGTTTGCAGTATAGGGATATAATTTTACTGATGCTGGTGGTGATTTTAATCTAGGTTTTATTTTTATATAGCTTCTATGTCATTAGTACCTTGCTTTTGCTATCATTTATGCTTTAATCTTTTACTTTTGAGCTTTGATTGATTTCAGGGTTCGTACTAATCTTTGTATCAGTATTTGATTTCTGGGGCAGACAGATATAATAATTCTCCCTCTCTCTCTTTCTCTCTCTGCTACAGACCAGATGAAGCAGAGCTATTTTCCAAGTCTGTGCAACATGCTTATAAACAATTTCGAGACAAGGCTGCCGTTTCTCGATCAATGAGTGTATGTTTCAAGTTTATCAAGCTATTTTGCATGTTTTATGTTCATCCTCTTTGTATTTATAAGTTATAGGTACTATTGGGTCACTAGGTAGACAAGATGGAAGAGGTTGCACAGGGAAGGGTTTGGACTGGTAAGGACGCAGCTTCTCATGGTTTGATTGATGCTATTGGTGGTCTTTCTCGAGCTGTTGCCATTGCAAAATTGAAGGCCAATATACCTCAAGACAGACAGGTTGGTTTGATGATACCTTTATTTTGTGGCTTTAGCTTTATGCTTCAAGTAGAGTTTGCTTATTGTGCTTGAGCAATGGCAGGTTACTATTGTGGAGCTCTCGAGACCCAGCCCTACTCTGCCCGAGATTTTAAGTGGTCTAGGTAATTCTCTCGTTGGAGTAGACACAACTTTAAAGGAATTATTACAGGACCTGACAGTTTCCCATGGAGTCCAAGCACGAATGGATGGGATCATGTTTGAGAAATTGGAAGGAAATCCACACGCCAACCCCATTTTGACATTAATTAAAGATTATCTTAGTTCCCTCTAGTTGTTTATAATATGAGGTCTAAACTCGTTGAGACTTTTGGGTTTTGATAATGAAAAAAAAAATACGACTGAAAAAAATTAAATTGTGGTAATCGTGACAATTTCTTACCCTTGTCATTGTTAATACTAATGTTAGTACAAGGGAAATAAGGTTCAAAATTTTTAAGCAAAGGAGCATTTGAGTTTTGTGGATAAGAAACAAAACATGATTTAGTAGATTGATTTTATTATAGTCAGTTTAATTTTTTAACACAGATTTTTTATAGGTAAAATATTGATGCTTTATATTTAAAGTATGGTAGAGTCATTATTAATTAGCTTAAAGATTAGTGTAATTATATACTTTCTCTATTTTATAATAAGTGTTGTTCAACATATTTTTGCATAAATTAAGAAAAGTTAATAAATTAGTGAAAGAAACTAGTAATTTTATAAAATTAATCTAATAATCATGGTGAGACAAATGCAATTAGAGCATGCAATATGTAGTAATTGTGCAACATTTAATGAAAATCTCAAAATGCATAACAAATAAGAGCCACCACAAAAATTTCAAACCATTCTTTCTTTTCCTTCTTAAACATTTTGTCGTCTTCTTATTTTTCTCAATACCTTTCTAATTCTAACTTTCCATGGTCAACTTAGAGGACTCAAGGCGAGTTCAAAAAGAAAGTTGCAATTGCATTATGTGAACAACGTTATCCTTACAAGAAGATATGCCTTGTTTTGAGGCCTCACAAATGTAAGTCTTACATCTATGGTATTAATGAATACCTTCATATAATGAAAGAACTAGGGTTTTGTTTTGGTTTTAGTTTTAAACTGCTAATCATAATATTAGGTTTTTTGGTATTTAAAAGCTTGTCACTTAAAGTATGATAACTTGTATTTTTTATGTGACTTGAGTAGATTATAGTAAACAATTGTTAAGAAATCTTAATGTAAGGTTAATGTTGACACGATGACAATTATTGTGGATTGGTCGATGAAGATTATCTATAGATGCAGACTTGTTTTAAATGCACTTTTTTCAATGTCGCTTATAAGGGTAGGTTTTCCTTCTTGAGTAATTTGCCAATAAAGAGGATGATATTGCTTCGGATTAATGTCACCTTGTTCATTCTTCCTCTTCTCCCTAGCACTTTTGTAACTAGAACTCCTCCCTTTCTGAAACTTCAAAAATGTCTCTCTTTATTAGTCACTCAATTTATTTGGTAAGATCAAAATATTTTTCCATGTCATGATAGAACATTCTATGAAACTTGTACTATTTAAACTTCTCTAACCCAATCTATTGATCAGTTACAAGAGGAAAAGAAAACATATTTACATTATTCACATTTTGAAAAATGTATCATCTAGGAGCATTCAAAAGGATCCAATGTTCCACCTTTCTATTATCCTCACCCAAGTGAGGAGGAACAAGTTTCACCTCCATTGACATTGAGAAAGGCTAGTAATCTAATGGTGGTTCCATCACCATTTATCCTTCCACCATTTTCAAATTCGCCTGCATCCTCTCTTATATCTCATCAGCTTTCTACTTATCTCTTAGTTCTCCCTCTACATTTCCTCCTCTCTCTCTCCTTTCTTGCACATTTAATTTCTTAAAGTCATTTACCATAGATAACAACTCCTCATTGATGGTTTTGTATGGAATTATTGTCCCCCACCATTGTGCTCTGTCCACATAATTTAAGGAAAAACAAAGAACCTTTGGACATTGAAAAATGTTTTTTTATTGTAGCCCCACGGTAAGTGCAAACTGTTAATTCTAAAGATCTCTTCTAGAATAACCTAGCAGCAATCAATTTTAAAACATTCAAATAGTGTAAAACCTATTCATCATACCCTTAGAACTAGATTTATAAACACAAGTTTTGTGTATCAAAATCTCGAGATTTTTGGGACGATCCTCAAAAATCTAATAGGAACTCATTTTGTATTTTGATAGCCAACATGTGCATTTATGAAGGTAATATGTCTCTCGTGTGTCAATGTTTTTATTGGATTCCAGTAAGCTTACCAATGTAGCTTAATCTGACTATACCTGACATTCCATGCCGGCGTGTGGGACCAAAAATGGATGAGACAATGTGCTCTCTATTAGTGTAGGATCAATACTTCGAATATGATGTGGTCTCTTGTCATGTAAAAGGTCTCGAGTCCTAGGTAAATCAAGTTGATAACATTATGACTAAATCACTATCTCCACCGCAAAAATTTTAAACCATTATCTTCTTTCCTTCTTAAACCTCTATTCCTTTCTTCTCTTTCTCAAAACTCTTCTAATTCCAACTTCCTATGGCCAATGTAGAGAACACGAGTCTAGGAAGAAAGTCGCAGCTGCAATATGCGAACAACTTCGCTCCTACAAGAGACGCTGCCACGTCGGAAAAGTCCATGTGGCAAATTGAAAAACTCATAACCACACTAAAGAAGCCAAACAACCATCAACTGTTGTGTGAGCTTTATTTTTCTAGTATTTATGAATATCTTCGTGTGATGGAGGTAATAAAATTTTGTTTTAGTTTTAATTTTATACTTCTAATTATGATATTAGGTTTTCTAGTAAATTAAAATTATGTCATTTCAAAGATGACTTGTGTTTTTCATGTGACTCACGTCAACTAAAAATGAATTAGGAAAAAAATGACTAAGAAGTATAATTTTGAAAATTACTAGAACCATTAAAATAAGATAAGAGTGATTAGTGTCTAAACTCAATTTAAAAAACAAATAAATAGAATGAGTAAGGTGTGTTCTACAATTTGTAGAGAGAAAGAATTACTCACATGTTATAAATTAAAAAGCATAATTTAGATTTTATTCATGTTATTTTTTAATTAGCTATTTGTAATATTTTTCTTTTTTATTTAATTATGCATTTCATACACTATTTACTACAATTTGCTGGAAAAAAAATTCTTAATCAAGTCAAATTACTTTTTATTTTTATCTAGATCTAGATATTTGATCTTCTAATATCTTTTTTCAATCTACCATTTTTTATCTATATCTCTGAATTGAATTTCAATAGTCTTTTAAAAGAAAATGTTAATAGTTAAAAAATAATTTCATATCATATTTTAAATTATTCATTAAAAATTTAAAATATATTTTATATGTTCAAATGTATTTATTTATTATAAATTTTAATAATAAAATAATGTATACAGTAAAAGATATTTATTTGTTTATAAATTTTAATTATATAAATTAAACATTGCAAGACATCTAGAGTGAGGTCAAATACAGGTAATACAAATGCAAGACATCTTGAGCTCTAAATCAACCTCACATTTCAAAACCAAGAATTTAGCATCTATGGACACTAAATAGAGTTTATTTATTTCATATGCTTATAGGGTGTTCTATAATTTCTTGAAAATGTTTTCAGACACCTTAATGGGTATCCACACTTGGATTAAGAAAGAAATAAAAAATGAAAATAATAAATGTGAAAAGTGATACAATACAACAAGAAGAGAAATAAATGAAATGAAGGTGTGAAGTGTTTATATTGTTAGGATGTCAAAATAATATATATTATGCGTAATTTCATCTTTTTCCTCCTTTTGTTAGAAGAATATTAAGTTTGTATAAAGCTAAGAAATGTAGATCCGGATCATTCATTGAATAGAAATTCAGTATAGTATATAAGATAAGCCCATGGTAGAGTATCTAATCTAGATCATATTACAAGACATAGCATTGGACCACGATTATTATAAAATTGTCATATTAAGTATTTACCACTTATCAAGCCCACAAATCACACTTTCTGATGCTGCATTAGCCAGAACTGGGAGCTAGAAATTAACTATCTCTTATACTTGTTCAATACTTACCTGTGAACTAGATTTATGACTGCATCACTGAAACCAACCACAGCTTCAAGCTATAAAGTGTCTGCATCAGATTCAACACTCAAAATGCATGCCTGTAAGTGTTGATAGAGCACATATACATATAATGAAATTTGGCTACGCTCTGGAGCTTGCAATTGGTCGAGTTGAAGACTCGTCAAGGAAGCCATTAGGGATGTGGTGATGTTGCTCAGCACTTCCAGCAGGAACTAACAGTTCAGAAAGTGCTACCTGAAGAGTAGAAACTTTCTCTTTTAGCTGAGCATTATGTTGGTTAATTTGTTGGTTACATTCCAACAAGTAAATGATCTTTTGTGAGAGTTGATGGTTCAATGTCTGCAGATGATCCACATGATACTGCAGGACTTCAATTTGTTGCTTCTTTCGCATCCGTGACCTTCGAGCAGATTCTCTGTTGGAGAACATCCTCTTCTTCTTTCTGTCATCAAGGAGAGCCTTTGCTTCATCAGAGTTGTTGTTGTTACTGTTTGATGATGTGTTTGGAGAGGATTTATGGAGTGGCAATTGAATTGGGTTGTTGTTAATGCTAGGAAGGTGAAGTTGGGAGTACAAAAATGGAACATGATGTAAACTATGAGGTGGATCCATAGGGCCTTCCCTAGCTTCCATGTTCAGGAGGTTTGTTGAGGCCATGATAGGTTTCTGGGTTGCAGAAGGATAGTGAAGGCACTGTGTTAAGGAAGCATAAGGTGATACATGGAGTTCATTATCTACATTGCCTTCCATGTCTCGAGTTTTCATGTCAGTGAGGGAGAGTTGGAACTAATGGGATTACAGGTTTTATAGATTAGATAGTTAATGCAGATAGAGCACAAGTAGGTAAGGAGTTTCTTGGCATTTAAGTTAGCTCATGTATTTTTAGATGTGTTAAGTTTCGTAGATCATAGTAGTTCTACATAATAGGAAAGTTAAGAATAAGGGTATGATCAAGATTAATGACAAATAATGGTTAGATAACCTTTACACTGCATATAATGGTGGGGGAATAATTGACATAGAGAAAAAAGAAAATTGAGAAGTAAAGTGGTTTAATAGATGAAAAGGAAATGCCATTGACTTTTTGACCAAGTATGCCTGAAACATTGTAGGAAGCCTAAAATTCAGCGACTCTCTAACCTGGATAAGAGCCAGAGATTAAATCATGCCATATAAACCCGTAGCCACATACCCAATTCAGCAAAATGCTGGCCAGGCGACTCTATATGCAATCTTTTTTCTATTTCTGGTATTAGTATATAATCTACCCAAGAATAAATGGTAATGCGCGTTAACTTTTAACTACATTTATTCAACCTAAAATTAGGATACGAAAAACTGAAGAAAAGTTCACTCAACTCAACGAATATATTTGAATAACTGATATCTAAGGATATACTCCAAAATCGAAGACGCTTTACAGTAATTTCACGCTTTAAATTAAATAAAATGTGGGATGTTATGGGAAAAGGAAATGAAATAATTGGTGTTTTTGGCGTCTCAATGAACTCTGCCATCATAAACCTCCACTTTTTTCCTGGCGGGCGATGACAATGAGACATTAACTTGCACGGGTCACATTTATGTGCCAAAGTTCATACGTATATAGTAAAAAGTATTTGCAGTTGCCATTGCAAAAGGTCCTTTCTTCCCTATTCATTGCTTATATAGCGGAGATGCTAATCTAAAGTCTAATAAGAAATAATGCCCATCATAGGGATTCTCATCCATAGTAAATTACCAGCTTTTGATTCCATTGTCGTGAGAAGTTTCAAATCAGTAACTTACCAGCGTCATGTGTGGGTCTTTAACTCGCGACGCAAGCCTGTTTCTTATCATAATTAATTTTACATAAAAACACGTTTTGATCTGAGTGAAATTAATTTACGTACACGCTTCAATCGGAACAAATATAAATATATTTCAAAAACTTCTATCAATCTCACAATTCGATTCCATTTAACACCGGAAGTTATAAATTTTATCTCAATTAATAACTAAGTACAGATTTTCTTTTGATGCTAGAACTATTTCTTTTTCATCTTGCAATCAAACACCTATAACTGAACAAATTCATTAATCTCAAGCCGAAAGTGCGTCTATCCAAATAGGTTAATAATCGTCTGGCATAAGACAAATTTATGGAACAGGAAAGTTTCTGGTGGTGTTAATGCAGACCAGGCTTCTTCATAAGTTGGTTATTGCTCTATTTAATTTTAATCAGATAAAAGCAATGGTAACATCATATGCCAGATCCAGGCAAAAAAAGCTGCTTAAAACTGCCAAATGTGCAGCATTAAGAAAAAAGAATAGTATGCAAATCAGTAATAGCAAAAGAATTCATTATATATCTACGATATCAGTCTTTTCTAGTAAATCAAATAATAGACTAGAGAAATCATATTAAAATTAATTAGAGTAACAAAACATATTAAAATTAATTTACGTAGGCGTGACAACAATCATCCACATTAAAGAGAATGGGCACCCCCTTAACATAAATAAATCTTCAACAAGCAACTCAACAACACTACCCCTAAAAAGGAGTGAATGCCTACGTTTCTATCAACCAAAATAATATTTTCGTTTCCGTAAAAAATATCATATTTAATCAACTCTCCCAAGAATGCAATCTTCGTATTCCCTCGTAATTCCATTTTCAGGCAACTACACCAAATTTGAGTACGTACGTAACTACAAATCCAATTAAGAAAGATACAAAGAAAATGCTAATTATATCAAAAAGTGCCCGAGACATAGTTATACTAATCTCACCCTGTGGTGTCCTTAACATTAAAAGGACGCCATAAAGCTGAATTCTAGTTCTCAAACCTTAGCACTGCAATGACAAGTCCAGGAAAACACGGTCCAACAAAAAAAAAAGACCCAGCAATCCAGGTTAGATAACCTTCACACCATCTGCAAGCCTTATTCTCCCCAAAAAACAAAAGGCCCCTCAACTCCCTCTTTACGGTGGAAACGGCCCTGATTACTATTCATGGAATTCACCAATCATTTAGGTTGTCAAAGTTTGAATTTCAGTCCTCATGTTAAAATTTCATGACATGATCACGTTGCAGAAAGAATCATACAATTTTTATCAAATAACTAACAGGTCCTAAGAAAAATCATAATGATCTCTTTCTCTTAAACATGACCATATCATGACATTAGAAACATGAGAGAGGATAAACATGACCCTAAACCCTTACACCATATCTATTTGAATGGTCGTTCGAGTAACTTATGTTTGAGTGGATGCTTTATTCCACGGAGCTAATAGTAAAATTCAGTATAATTTTTTTCATTCAACATAAAAGGTACCTAAAGTTGATTTAAAATCCATTCCGTAACACAGAACTAAACATATAAACATTTACCCGAAATCTCACGTTAACTGTAGTTTCAAATCAAACTAGAAAGCAAACACAGTCAAAACATGAGAGTCTAAATTCCGTCTAAGGGACCTAATAAAAAACCTTCAGAGTTCCATCATGTCCATGACTCAGAATAACACAAGATAGCAATCCACAAGAACAAGAGCACCAAGAAATCACAACAAACACATATTCCATCGAAGAAGTATTCATTTCTGTGATGTATCCGAAAGTACAATTCGAAGGAAACATCCCTAAACTCAAATTCCCATAAAATAAAATAAAAAAAGCACATCACAAGCATTTGTTCAATGAGGGGCAAAAAATCTATACTTGATAAAATATCCTAATAATATACCATCCCCATTATGATGACGATGATGATGATGATCAAACAAGAGATCTCTGCGCCTTCCGACGCTCATACTCAGCATCATCAGTGGGAAACTCAAAGCGACAAACGGGACACGTGTTCCTGATCCCCAACCAGGGCACAATGCAGTCCCCGTGGTAGCGGTGCGAACACGGCAACTCCTTGGCAATTTCCCCAACGGCAAACTCCTCCTTACAAACCGCGCAAAGGGCGTTGTCATGGGCCACGTCATCGGCGGAGAGAACCAGCGTGGGAAGGTCCCTGACGGCGGAGGCAGAAGCCGGAGGCTTCCCCACCAAGGCGTTGTTGTCGTTGAATTGGCCGAACATCATTTCATACTCGGCAGTGTAAACGTAATCCTCGTTGTCGTTGTCAGCGAAATAGGGTTCCGAATTGGCCCCTTCCAAAGTGTTGGCGTTCAGCAAAACCTGCCACTCCAAATTGCTCACTTCCTGCGAATCGATCTCCTCTTCGATTCCGACGGAGACGGAGGCTTCGTCGAGCATGCTCAGAACCTCTCTCTCGTCCACGACTTCCTCCCACTCGAAATCGTCGTAGTTGTTGTTGTTGGCGTTGGTGGTGGTGTTGGTGTTGGTGTTGGTGTTGGTGTTGGTGTTGGTGTCGTCTAAGTGCAGCGCGTCCCAGCAGAGGGGGATGGTGGAAACGTCGTCGTTTTCGTTGTAGTCGTCGTCGGAATGCGCGCAGAAGGCGAGGACGTCGTTTTGGAGAGCGAAGTCGTGGTCGTCGTCGGATCCGACGGAGAGGGAGCGTCCGATAAAGAAGTCGTCGGCGGAGGGGAAGGCGAGGTCGATGACGCCAAAAACGGCGTCGTCGGAGAGTTGGGACTGTTCGACGCGCTGGTGGAAGAGATCCATGACGAAATTGACCTGGTTTTGGCGGTCGAAGTCGAAATCCCAATAGGGAGAGGGGGTTTGGTCGTCGTCGGGGAGGTGGCGGAGGAAGGTGGTGGTTACATCGGCCATTGTGGTGTGAAATCAAACTGTGGAGTTTGAGCCTATAACGGGTTCCAATGTGGAATGACGGAAATGCCCCCTCTTCTTTGTCCGCAATACCAGGAACTTACCACACCCTCTCTTTACGCACACACGTTCTACTTCTGCCCTTCCTTTCTATGCCTCACAAACACTTTTTCACACCTATTTCATATTTTTCTCTTAAAATTCATAAAACCTAACAAATTTTAAATATTCACAATTTCAAAAAATTAGGTCATAAAATTCAAATTTATAATAAATAAATAAAATAAATTTAATCAAACTAAATACAATTTTTAAAAAATTACTGTGGGATGTATCTCTATGAAAAGACAAACTTAATTTCATATGAAAAAACTAACTTACAGTAAAATTTTGTCTGAAAATTTACATTCAAAGTTATTATTTTATTTCAAAAATTCACACCATGGTAGAATGAACTTAGTGGTTAGAGTTGAGTTTATACATAATTATTGGTTGAATCATTATTATATTATCTTCTTGGAGGGTATTTGTAGATCAAATTGATTAAGATTTTAGTGAAAATCTAATCAAAATTAATTTAATTGGTTGATTTCAAAATTATTGTTGACTAATTTGAATCAAACTACCTTGGTATTGATTAGGTTAGTTCAATTCTGTTCATCGAATATTCAATCAGTTTTTAAAAAAAATATGAAGTACATATATTTTTTAATATTAACTAAAATGATAGATAAACCATTAGGGTTAGCCTAGTGGTTAAGTAAGGGAGGGGTTGGGATCAGTGACGGATCCAGAAATTTTAGATAGTGGGGGCAATATTTATTTATATATTATAGTATTAAAAAATTTATGTATAAGTTTTATAGACATAAATATATATCATAATTATTTTTTACAAGTTTTTATATTTAGGATTACAATTAAAGATGAAAATAAATTAGGTCAGATTATATTTTATTATAATTTAGTAGGTTTGAACCTAACTTTCTTTAAAAATATATATCCTAAGTATGACTTATTTATCTATCAGACATTTTTTAAATGTTTGGGTACAATCCTAAAGTCCTATTTTATAATAATTTAATATTATTCAAAATATAAAAATAAATATGTTAAATTTTATAAAAATTAAGTTTAATTTATTTATGATATAAACATGTTTTTAATATCTAATATATATTTTTAGATGATAATTTATTTTAAAATATATTTTATAATAACAATTCTAAATGAAACATAAATCTTCCGATATTTCTTATTTTAATTTTTTTTTAATCAACATATACAATTTTATTATTTTTATTTTTTTAATCAACGTATACAATAAATAGAAAATACAAAAGGTATGTATACTATCAAAAATTGTTTTTTTAATATATCACATTATGTATGTGAGTATATATATATATTAATTAAACATTTTTTAAAAAATTGATTCATTATTAAAGAGTATTCTTTATCATATAAAAGAATTAATCTCATTTAAAAGTTTGATAGACATCAAATAAATAAATATTTTCTCCGAATCTATATTTTATACATATGATAATTTAAACATAATTTTTATTTTTTAAATATATTATTTTTTAAAATAAAAAATTATGTATGTGTCAAATAGTAGTGGGGGCAAGTGCCCCCACCCACAAGTGGATCCTGGTTGGGATAGTCAGAAGCATGAGGACCTTAATTCAATCATTACAGTGAGCATCTTTGTAATATTTTATATTTTAAAAAAAAACTAAATTGACAGAGTTGCAATATAATTCTTTTGATTTTTTTTACTTTACTTAAGAATTCTAAATGTACTACAATGTATGAAGATGACACTCATTATAATTTATGACTTTATAAAAAATGAATGAGAAAGACTACATATTGTAACACAAAAACTTCTTCAAAAATGATTAAAATGATACATACATGTTAATTGTTAAATAAATAAAAAACAAAAATATATGAAATAATTAGCTTGATACAAGTCGACTTAGATTTTAAATGAATAAGTTACTCAAACCAATTAATATTAAGTTTAATTAGTATGTTTAAAGTTAGACCTAAAAAAATAATTTAATTAATTTAATTTAAATTATCGAGTTTGTTAAGTTGAATTAATTTATTTACGCAAATAATATTTGTTCTTTTTTAATAGTCATTTAAGATTGTTATATACAAATTAATGGATGAAATAAAATTATCAATTTCTCATAAAATAATTTTAGTATTTCCTGTTATATCTTTCTCATTTTTTATAATAAATATATATTAATTATCAATATATAAATTAATTAAAATTTAGTGAGCGTGTATGACAGATTGAAAATAATTAATGTTATTTTGAACTTGAAAATGATATATAAATAAATAAATAATTTCTTAAAAAACGAGCATTAAAAAGTAACCTTAATTTCTGATAAAAAAACTGCATCGATAATTAATGAAATATTTATGCAAGGTTGTTTCGGGGTTTTTTTTTGCGGGATATAGGAATATACTACTATTGGAATTTGTACACGTGTGAGTGTATTTATTGGCGAATATTAAATGGTTAATTTATTGTGGAAGAGAGAAATGATTATTGAAAATTAATAAGACAATGAAAGTGCTTTTATTTTTGGAAGATAAAAAAAATGACTAAAAAGGGAGTATTTGGATTTGTTTCCTCTTTCCATTTACGGAACATTAAAATTGTTAGATGGTTATGGTATTATAGTGTGAAAAACTCATTACAATAAAATGATTAAGAGAATATAAAGATAATAAATAAGAAATGGCTAAATTATCTTTAATAGAATAAGATAAAACATAAGAGTTTATTAGACCTATTATTTAACATTTCTCTCAAACTTGAGATACGTTACTGAAAAGTATTGAGAGTGTTAGTTAAGAAATGAAATTATTTAAGAATGCAATTTTATGAACAAGTAAGCAATCTACATAAAAGAAGAGATAAATAGTAAGATAATGGTCCCCTTACATATAGTGTTGCCTAGTAAATAATTGAAAGAAGGTAATTCCTTGATCATTCTCTTGACCAATGGTCTATATTTATGCAATATTACAAGAGAAACTATAGCCTAAAATTAAGCATAATCAAATATACACTTTCCAGACTTCTTCTACTAAATATATAATATACCAACTACAATTAATATTAAAAGATTATTATCTCATTTACACATATACAATTAATACTAAAATATTATTATCTCATTTACTCATAATTATAGGGTGAGATAGAATATATGTGTAAATGAGATAATAATCTTTTAGTATTAATTGTAAGCTATAATATATATTTGGAAGGTGTATATTACTTAATTGTAGGCTATAATTTCTCTTGCAATATTACATAAATATAAACCATTGGTCAATAAAATGATCAAGGAATTACCTTCTTTCAATAAAAATCAATTTTAATGTGTTTGATGTGCTCATAAAATATCGAATTATGAGTGATTTGGATAGCACTCTTTTTATTACACTACATAGGAGTTGGTGTAGAAAAGGAAACACCCATAAAGTTAAGTAGTCATCTCAACCAAACAATCTTTGTAGTAATGGAAGTCATGGCACGATACTTAACTTTTGTAGAAGAATGAGAAACAATAGTTTGTTTCTTATTCTTCCAATAATTAAGAGAATCCCCAAAAGATGCAAAAACATGTGGTAGACTTACGATCAATAGAGTCACCTATAAATGGAAGCAACTACAATAAGAGTACGAAAACTGGTCATTTTGGCAACATGAGCAAAAGTTTTTTCATAGTCTATGCCATATGTTGGGAAAATCCTTTAGCAACCAAATGAGTTTTGTATTTTTTAACAGAACCATCAGACTTGGTTTTGATCTTGAATACCCAACAAGAGACAATTGCATATTTTGTTTGAGGAAGAGACAATATCCCAAGTTTGTTTTATGTAAGGTTGAAAGTTCCCTTGCCATAACACATGCTTTAGACACATAGCCCTACATCCTTTTGCCTTTCAAGAAAAAATTTAAGACATAACTCCAATAAGAATAATTTTACCCATTCAGTTACACACTAATAGATCGAAAAGAATCATCCTTTTCACTAATCATTGTTACAATCATAGTTAGAAAAATGATAAATAGAGAACTTATAAGGAAACTCCAATTTATGCAAACGGATCACTGTAAACTCTAATTACTACAAAATCTTAAAACAAGAGAGCTTTCAACAATACCACAAAATATGTTTAAAATTACTCAAACAAAATTAAACACAAAAGTTCATAATATTTATAAAAAAAATATTTAAAAGTCATACATAATATGAATTCTGATGGATTAATAATATAAAATAATTTTAGAGAGTCTCATTCATTTCATGTAATTTGAAGTTCTAAGGTATGCCTTTAGTAAAAATAAAAAAAGATATGCCTTTCAAATTAAATTTAAAAAAAAAAAAGTCATACCAAAACAAATGAATTGTCTAGGCCACGTTATCCCAAGTTTCCAACCCAAATAACTGAAACACATGGAAAGCTCAAGGCAAATGATAAACACACCTCCACTCTCGTATAAACACACCTCCTTTTTTAAAAAAAATATATAAAATGTCTAAATTATCCTTTTAAAAAAAATAAAATTCCTAAATTTACACCTCCCTTCCCTGCACCCCCCTTCCCCGCACCAGAACGGGCCGTTCTGCAAGAAGAACGGCCCGTTCTGATTGCAGAACGCCCCGTGCTGCCCCGTTCTGCAAGCAGTACAGGCCGTTCTGCTTGTAGTATGGGATGTACTGAAAGCAGAACAGGTCGTTCTGTTTGCAGAACGGGCCGTTCTGGGGCCGTTCTGTTGCAGTACAGGCCACCGCGTCACTTTTAACATGACTACCTTATGACTGATTTTAAAACTCCAATTTTAAAAGTCATTTTTGTACTAGTGTGTCTTTCCATAGAACAAGTAAGAGTCTTTCTCTTACAAGACCACCTGCTGACATTGCGCACCCTTCTTCTTTCTCTTTCTGACACTCTCCTCTTCTTCTTTTTTTTTCCCGCACCTCGCACGCCCCTCTTCTTTCTCTTTCTCGCACTCCTCTTCTTCTTCTTCTTATTGTTACGGAAAGTTCTTTCTGGAATTATGTAAAAATGTTCC